AACCGCGGTCCACATGTTTTGCTAAGCTTGTTCTAAGTAGGTGCTTTAGACCGCTGAGCCATCTCACCAGCCCCCTAAATGTTCTTAACATTGTGTTTACAGAGCAGAAGTTTTGTGTGTGTGTGTGTGTATATATATATGGGTTTTTTTGGGGGGGAATTTGTACCTGTACATTACATATCTTGCCTGTTTTGTGTACGTTGTAAGCCCATCTTCAGTCTTTCGCATGTGAAATAGCCAGTTTTCACAGCATCGTTTGAGGGTGTCATGACCTTTTCCCATTGAGGATTCTTGGCACCCTTATCAAAAAATAATTTTGCTAGATGCATTACAGTTTTTTCCCTGGGTTCTCTAGTTGGTCCCACTGGTCTATTTTTGTGCTACTTTTCCATTTTAATCTGTTTATGTCGTAATTCATTCTCTTGCCTTACTGTACCAACAAGGTCTTCTAGTCCAGTGTTGAGATATTGGCAGTGGATATCCTTGTTTTGTTCTTGGTCTAGGAAGGAAAATTGTTTCCTACCTTTGACTTTTAAAAGGTAATGCTCTTGTACTGTTTTGTTCATTGCTAGCTATAGTAGTGAAAGCTCAAACAAATGCAAGATAAAGGAACTTTTCTCCAAAGTTAAACACTGGTGCAGAGAAATCAGTGAAACCTAGATGATTAAAAATAATAATCATGTAAATATTTTGTGGATAGCAAAGTTTTGGCACTGTGTAGTGAGATCCTGTAGACCCTGTACTAAATAATATAAAAGGGGGGGAACAAAGTTAAGGACTGCCACTTCTAAACAACTCCAATAATTCCCCTACAGTTCAACATAACAACATGGCTTTACTTCTTATATTTCGTTTTTATTCTTTTCTGTTGGATGGTTAAGATCAAGGTAAAGCAAGACCTATGCAACAAAAGTTGTAGCTTTTGGGTCTGATAAGGTCGTGAAATCCCTTCAGGGTTTATCCTGAAGTCCTGTACCTCAGATTATAGAACCTTTGTCAGTGTCAGCCATGTGGATGAGTCACGGCCATTGCTTGGCCAGTGTGCTTCCTCTGAAAGCCTGAGAGAATGTTTTCTCTCCATGTGACTCTTTAGGCACACTCTACATCATCGATCACTTTCTTCTTTGGCCCCATAATTTCCTTGATCAGAAAATTTGGGACACTACTGAGTTACATGACATTACAGTACAAGTTCTCATATGTCCTGAGTCTTAATTGACCTTGGAAGGCTAGGGCCAAAATGTTGGCTTTCCTTGTAGCCCTCC